TTTGTGGGGGGGGGGGGCAGCAACGAGGTCATCATTTATCCCTGATTGGGACGGAGGCGCTCGTGTAGGATTTACCCATAAAGACGAGGAGACGACATTTCCTGCCCGTTTCCCTCATGAATATCAGAGACGGCGGCGGCGCCACCACAGCAACACATGCGGGAAAATTACAGCCCTATTATTTTATTTGCATTACCTGCAACAGGCAGCATGTCGGCTGCTGTATTTATTGCCTTATCAGCGGCGGCGTGGCTGTAAACATTCTCAGATTTATTAGCCAAGCGGCTTTGCCCCAAACATCACACGTAATTACTGAGCAAATAGAGCAAAGACGTATCTGGAATTATTTTTTTTGTTGTTTCCTCGACTTTGCGGGCTTTGCGATGGATTGACCAGACTTAAGGGGGGGGGGGTGTTTCCTGCCGCTGCCTCGGACCCAGACGTGTCTGCAGCCTCGACAGGGAATCAGAGTGGCTGTTATTTCTACGGCTTTATATCCAGAGTCGCTGCTATCGGAGATGTGGTTAGCGCTGGGGTTTTTTTTTTCTCTACCTGAGCGCCTGCTTCCATCCAATTATGTTGTTTGTCTTCTCAAAGGCCTCAATACCTCAAGCTTTGTAGACCCCCCCCCCCCCCGTGCTCCTGCACACACTGTGTTTCACAAAGTTAGACAGAACTAGATCCATTAAGTTGGTGAAATGAGCAAAATAAATAAAAAAAAGTGCAGCAGAGGGTTACCCTAGGTGCGCCCGTTCTTCTGTTATCCAATTTTACTGGGATTTGGAGTGATTTGCGCCTGGTTCCCCGAGGGAAATAAATACTTTGATTAATGTAATCCTGGGCAGGGAGGTGCCACACAATCCCACCGCCCCCCCCCCCCCTTGTATCCTCGGGGAACGCCACTGTTTAACAAACAAAAACAAAAAGCGACGACTATGGAGAGACGAGCGGCGGCGACGGAGGCTACAAACCAGGCGGTCGCACACTTCTATAGATTTGATTTCCTGCGGATTTAGTTTATTTATTAATTACTCTGCTTAATAACACTATCATTCTTGATTAGCATGTGTGATGCAGAGTAACAGAATAGAAAAATACCAACGTGTCCGTCTGCTGATTTGCATACACAATAACACCGGTTTGTTTTGATGCTGCTGGAGGGGGGGGCTCAGGCATGTGTGTCCATGCTGATGTGGTTTACGTGTGTGTGTGTGTGTGAGAGAGAGAGAGAGTGGAGAGAGAGAGAGAAGAAGGGATGTGGCACTACAACACTATCAACACTACCAACACAAGTAAGGGATGGGGGTGGGATGAAGCTGAAGACTGACACACACACACACACACACCTTCCTCTCTCTCTCTCCACTCTTTCACTCAGAAGCTGCACTTCATTCTATCTTTGCCCTCCCCCCCCCCCCCCCCCTCTCTCTCACTCTCCAGTGTGTGTGTGTGTGTGTGTTTACATCATCAGGCCTCACAGACAAATCTTTTCCTCCTTATTTTACGTTCTGAAACCAAACAAACTCCCGTCTCTGCAACTTTGGACGTTTATTTTCAAATTGAAATCTGTTTGACTTGTATGTTCAGACAACACTTTAATCTGTTGCTCGTTCTGGGTCCACAAATAAAAACACAATTTATCTTCTCTAATTAAAACACCTCTTTTTCTTTTCTTTTTTTTTTTTAGCCCCATTTCTAACTGAATTGATAAAATAAATATATTTCAGCCAATTGAATTGATGCCATAACACACACATGGAAGAAATGACTCACCCAAAGCATGCAACGTTTTCTTCCTCCACCACTGAGCCCAGCTTCAGGCCAAATTATGACATCCTGATAGATTTCCAATACCAAATCAATACAGGCTGTGTCTGAGCCATGAGTCACGATGCGGTGATCTCTCTAATGTAATCTTTACCTGCACGTCGGCCCATTCACACACTCAGAAGAATGAGAGGTGTATGTGTACATCTGTATTAATAGAATATTAATAAAGTGCCTCAGTCTCGTTTGAATGGGTTAAGAAAAAAAATCCCATTCATGTCTGAAATTGGAGGCACGTTTAATGCTCGATATTCAGTGAAGCCCATTTAATTAACGCTATAGTAGCTACATTATCATTTAAGTGCCCAGAGTTGGACCCAGCTTTAAATCAACGGTGCTGGTGACGTGAGACACACTCAGCGTATGTCGTCTCGGATTAGTGACTGGACCCAGGCGCATGGAAATAAATTACGCAGCGCTATGGGCAACTTAAAGTGCGGCTGTAATTAAAAGAGGCAGGAATTGCGTCAATTTAATCTGAATATTGTGCGCAAGGCTGCGGCGGGTTCGTCCTGCGCCCTGTGTGAGGTTGCACATAAATAAAAAAGTGTCAGCTGTCAGGAGTTTATGGAGGCTGGAGAAAGTGGAGTCCAAGTGATGAGAGCACGAGGGTGTTTTATGGGGGACAGAGGATGGATTAACGTGCTGCGTAAATTGATTTTTCTGTTCCTATTGGTGTTTTAGTCTCCCCACTGAAAGCCCATCATGTTTTTATATTTTCCTCTAAAACTTTAAAAAAGAAATCTGCTTTATCAGCTCGCATCAGAAACACGTGACAGTGTGTGTGTGTGTGCGTGAGAGATATTCTGCGGGTTCATGATAAATTAGACAATCTGCTCCTGGAGGAATAAATAAATGGCCTCCTGCTCCCAATAACCGTCATAGTTGCACCGTGACAGAATGGGTGCGTAATGCGTAATAACGCACAGTGCTGCTGCTGATGATGATGACGATGACGATGATGAAGAACAACGCTGCATGGTGCAACACTAAGCGGCCGGTCAAGCATGCAGAGGAATTGCAATGCACTAATTCCCGCGATGATTCATGGCTCCTGCCCGGCCCCTCGTTTGTTGATAATTCTCGGAGTCATATGTTTCCACAAAGACCTGCTGGCTCAGACTTATGGCTTATAGGCTCCTGCAGATGGCTACTGGCTTCAAAACAAATCACTGGCTATTTGCATATCAACGAGGGCTGTCATTGATCAATACAGGGAGAGCTCTGCAGCATGTGTGGAAAAAAAATAATAATAATGTGAAGAAGAAAATGTGAAAACCCGTCTTTAACATTTTTGCGTAATTGAAAGAAGGTGTTTTTAAATCGAGGGATTAACCAGGATATAGTCGGAGCCCGTGGTAACATAGTTCTTCTGCAGGAGCATGAATTAGTATTAGCATATCATCGCTGCTCTATTTATCAAACAGCTTAAGTGCAGCCCCGGTGCATGACACTGTTCTGTCTTTACGGGCCTCTGGATGTCTGTCCCCATTCAGTCACTTCCCTCCTCTAACCCGCTGATATCGTCATCGCCCATCCTGCCGCGCACTTCACGATTACGCACGAAACTGTGGCCAAGAAGAACGCACCTATACACCGCAAAGGATCACCAGCTAGGGCGGATGTCATGGAGAAGGTGAGCACAGTGAGATGGCTCCTGCAGATCAGAGTGAGAAGCTCTCAGAGGAAAGAAGTTCAAACAATCATGGGAACATCCTGGAATGTATCCACATTTAATGAAGCCATCAGTTATCTTATTAATTTGTGATATTTCTCATATGTGATCTGTAGTTTTTTTTTGGAGTGTAGTTTTTGCAGCATTTGCATCACGAGTGAGCGCGACACCTGGCGGCGCTGATGCTGTTTTTAATTTATTTCTGATGACCGCTCACCTCCAGCTTGACCCACTGACGTGTTGTAATTCAACATGTAACATTTAATTCCACTTATCAGTAAATCTCAATCCCCAGCTGATCATCTCCACGTGCGTTATTTGACTTTTACGCACAAGAACATGAGAGTTTCTTATTTTAAAACATCGCGATAACTTCAGATCAAGTTGTGGCTCGGCTGCAGCCTGACATCATCATACTCTCCCGGTTATTTCCGTTCCTTTGCATGAAGTGATCTCGTTACTGTAACGCGTTACCGCCCAGCTCCGGTGCTGCTGGCCCGGGACGTGGAGCCTCTTTTCATCTCGACTCCAGTGCACAAACATACAGCTTAATGCGACCAGTGTTTCCCTCTTTTATGGCGCTCACCATGGCGACCAAGTGCTGGGCTCAGAAATGCGCTCCCCATCAATGCAGGGAGAGGAGTTAACCCGTGAGAAAAAAATAACCCACCTCCTCAAACCCGGGTTTTCACGCAGGAAGACGCCGAAATGTTGCGTTTTTTAGTTTTTACGCATCCCTCCGCGCGCAGTTTCTCGCCATAAATTGCCTGTGACCAGATCTCTTTTGCGTCTGCACGTTTTTCAGAAACAAGTTTTCTCAACACCGCCCTCCTCCATCCGCTCCTTGGATCAGCTCCAGACCCAGAGGAGTAAAGAGGGAACCGGTCAGCGCGCGCTGAATCCAGGCTCTGTAGGAGCCTCGTCAGTGGAGGAGCCGCGGTCTCACTGGACAACAGCAACTTTAAACAAACTTTAGATCGATTCACATGAAATGATTTCATATTGCACTTGCCTACGCGATGATGCCTCTGGAGGATTCAACCGAGGGGTCTCTCTCTCTCGCACACACTCACCCCCTCCCTTCATTATCCTCCCCCTATCCTCTCCCTGCTTAAAATGTGATTGATTGCACTTTTCTCCGGTGGACATTCACTACAAAACAGCACAGCTTATCCATCTGCCTGCTATTTATATATAAAAAAGCAGAAAAAAAAGGAAAAAGGCCTGGTGCGCAAAAACAAGCAGCGCCGCGAGTATTGATTTTTACGCATTCGGTGAAAAGGAAACGCATTTGCAATTCGGTGTTTAAATACTAACTTAGATAATGCTGGTGCATGCAGCAGCGGAGGAAATCACAAATATCGTGTGAAGCACAGGGATCAGTCTTTGAAGGAAACGCATCTCGGTGGAGAAATGCGCGAGAAGGCGATAAACTGCTCACAATTCCCCCGAGCGCAAGGAAAAAGAGAAATGCGCACAAGATGATATGTTGACTTACCTTGAGTCCGAGGAAACAGAACCGTCTTCACATTGTCTGTGTGGAGTCTGTAAACCGTTATCTCCCTTTCCTTCGCCTCCGTGCGCCCTAAGATTTTCTTTCCTCTGCCTCAACTGAGCAGGAGCACTCCTCGGCTCCCGCTATTATTTTCACTAAAATATATGAAAATTTATGCAAATGAAAATCAGCACTAACTGTTCGTCTCTTGTTATACTTGGGGATGATTTTTTTTCCTCTCCCCCCTTTTCTTTCTTTCTTCCTTTCTTTTTTCTGCATGCAAAATAAATGAACTCCCCCAGCAGGGAACTTGGGAACCTTTTTTTTTAATATATATATAATAAGCAAATAAATAATAAACACATGGTACAGCAGAGAGGAGAGTGTTTATCCGCGCTCAGTGATTTCTGGAGCGTTTGTGAAATGTTGTATTTGATGTATATTGCACACGAGTTTATTTCTTTCTTTTTCAGGGGTTATCTTGAGCATGGAGCTCTCTCCTCTGCAGCCTGTCACGTTTCCACTGGCCGCCTGAGACGCCCCTTCAGAGCGTGTGGATTGAACAGCAGTAATTTAGACAGAATTCCTCACTGTATATTAATGAATAGAGGGCCTCATGGCTCTGGCCCCTAGCCTGCCTATTCAATGTAAACAAATCCACGAGGCAGGAGGATTTGAGCCCAGGCCAAATTAAATCTACTGGGATGAGAAGAAGAAGAGGAGGAGGAGGAGGAGGAGGAGGAAGTGGTAGAAGAAGGGGGGGGGGGCACATGTCCACAACTCCTCCACTGCCTCACATTTGCCCTGAAATCCCTTCTGCAATAAAACATCTGATTTTGGAGCTTATGGATTTAACGCGTGACACGTAGTTCTGACCTGTAAACAAAACCCAGTTAATCCTGTCACCTGCCACAGACCGTGTTCCGTCCAGGTGTGTCCACAACCCCCCCCCCCCCCCCCCCCCCCCCCCCCCCAACTCCACCAGCGCAGCGGGAGCTTTATATCTGGCACTTGTTACCACCCATGGGTGCGTCCAAAGGCGCAGGGGTCCCACGCACAGACAAAGGGCCTATTCATCTCCAGGGTTGCGTGGTCATCTTGAGGGATGCTGCACATTTTAAGGTGCTCGATCTCTCTTCTTTTCTTTTTTACACTTTTGGCAGACGTTCCCAGCCATACCCCCCCCCCCCCCCCCCCCCCCACCCCCCACTCCCCCAAGGACTGCTCAATTTGCCCTTGTTTTGGTTGCCACTTGCTCTTTCACCGTGCCTCAGTGAGGTTGCCTGTGCGTGGCGTTTCCGCATGGAAGCATCCCCGCAACCTTTGTGCGTTAACTCCTGAGGAGCCGAGGGGCTGCGGTCCCTGCTCCTCTCTGCAGCTCTGCCTGAAAGGTGCATTCACAAATCCACACTTTATATATTCGTTCATGTTTTCAGAAACAAGATGAAGCATTGTTAAAGTTTCCTGAGCGTTTGTCTCCAGAGGGAATTAACCCTCCAACCGTGGCACTGGTGCCTTATTCTATTACGCATCCAGGTCAGAATACCAAACAATTATAATTGTTTCCAACACATCTTACGTGTGTTTGTATGTTCTGAGTAAACTTGCATCAGAACGACAGAAGATAAACGCATTTTACGCACATTTATATTGCGTAAATAAAGTTGATCCATGTGTGTGTTTAACGCATGCATGTTCAAACTCACACTGTCATACATGTGCACTCGTGCGTAAAAACATGATTTGAAGCTTTTCTGCACAAAATTAAAGAATGTTGGAGGTTTTACGCACGAAAGTCGAGGTCAGCGCTTATCGACCTCTTTTTTTATTTACCCCCTCAGCCTCCCAGTGTCTCAGCAGTGTTTACTACCAGGTCGTCTTCCCCGTTTTGTTTGGACTGCAATTAAAAAGCAGCCAATCGGAACAGCCGGAAGGAGGGACCGTGCGCCCGGAGCAAGGCTGGCGAGGGCTGCCAATCACACCCCGGGTATCCAATCAACGGGGACGCACGGGGTAAACATCCGCGCGTCGTCGAGTGCGGGGGGAGGAGGGGGTGAGGACGGTGGGGGGGGAGTGAGGGGGCGGGGCTACACGGCCTGTCAGGGGGAGAGAGAGATAGAGAGAGAGGTGGAGAGAGAGAACAAGCGAATGAGAGGAGAGGCTCGCGAGCGGTGCCGCGCGCTCCTCTGCTGGACTGTACTTGAACGGGAGTTTGCGGTTTGGCAGGTTTATACACATCAAAACAGAACAAAGAGAGAGGCTCCAGTGCTATAAAAGAAGAGAGAGAAAAGAATAAAGCGAGGGAGAAATCTCTGCGACTGAATTACAAAAGAAGAGAGGACGCTCTGCTAATGATTCTCACATCCACACGGGACATAAACCAGGACTTTGTACATTGGGGACAATTTGCGAGGCTTTTTGTTTTTTCGCCTCCTCCAAAAGTTTGTTTGGGACGACTCCTGCTTTTCTCTGCTGTATATTTGAATTTGAATTTCATCCCGGTGAGAAACTTTCTGCGCGGACTGCACATGGTTTCAAAGGGCTTTTGAAAAACCTGGATTTTTACTCGTGTGTGAAGTAGAATGTGGTAAATACATGCGGATTTTATTCGGTTTTCTGTCGCCGCTCCCGAAGCTTTTTGGCGTCTTTTTACGCACGTCCATGGTATTTGCCAAAAACCTACTCATACTTTTAAAGTTTGAATAATTCATGAGATACAATTTGCCCGCTCGAAAGAAGTGACTGTAAAAAGGGAGGGGGGTTATCCACAAACATATTCATAAGGGTTGACGGAATGGCCACCGCCGCTTCCAATCCTTATCTGCCCAGCAATAGCATCTTATCGTCCGGCTCCATCGTGCACTCTGACTCAGGAGGTGGTGGCATGCAGCCGGGCAGTGCTGCGGTTACCTCGGGGTCTGGGGGCTACCGGGGAGACCCCTCGGTCAAGATGGTACAGAGTGACTTTATGCAAGGCGCAATGGCAGCGAGCAACGGGGGACACATGCTGAGCCATGCCCACCAGTGGGTGACATCCCTCCCGCACGCCGCAGCGGCGGCAGCAGCGGCCGCGGTGGCTGCAGCTGAAGCCGGATCGCCCTGGTCGTCGAGCCCCGTCGGGATGACGGGCAGCCCCCAGCAGCAGGACGTGAAAAACTCCGGCAGAGACGATCTGCACACGGGCACCGCGCTGCACCACAGGCCCCCTCACTTAGCTCCACACCAGACTCACGCCGGGGCTTGGGGGAGCACGACTGCGGCGCACATTAACTCCATATCCGGGGGCCAGCAGCAGCAGCAGTCGCTGCTCTACTCCCAGCCGGGAGGCTTCACTGTGAACGGGATGCTGAGTCCTGGGAGCCAGAGCCTGGTGCACCCGGGCTTGGTGAGGGGGGACACCCCGGATCTGGACCACGGCAGCCACCACCACCACCATCACCACCAGCATCCGCACCACCAGCACCACGGCGGCGTCAACAGCCACGACCCGCACTCGGACGACGACACGCCGACCTCGGACGACCTGGAGCAGTTCGCCAAGCAGTTCAAGCAGCGGAGGATCAAACTGGGCTTTACGCAGGCGGACGTCGGCTTGGCTTTGGGCACCCTGTACGGGAACGTTTTCTCTCAGACCACCATCTGCAGGTTCGAGGCTCTGCAGCTCAGCTTCAAGAACATGTGCAAGCTCAAGCCTTTGTTAAACAAGTGGCTGGAGGAGGCCGACTCGTCCACCGGCAGCCCCACCAGCATCGACAAGATCGCGGCGCAGGGGAGGAAGCGAAAGAAGCGCACATCCATCGAGGTGAGCGTCAAGGGGGCCCTGGAGAGCCACTTCCTAAAATGCCCCAAGCCCTCGGCCCAGGAGATCACCTCCCTGGCGGACAACTTGCAGCTGGAGAAGGAGGTGGTGAGAGTTTGGTTTTGCAATAGGAGACAGAAGGAAAAACGGATGACGCCCCCAGGAGTGGCACAGACGCCGGAGGATGTGTACTCTCAGGTCGGCAATGTGAGTGCAGAAACACCGCCCCCCTCCATGGACTGCAAAAGAATGTTCAGTGAAACATAGAATATTTTATATGAAATTAAGCTGAGTAGAAACACAGACTATCTCCAGGATAGACACATTTTTTTTGATACTGTGATTGTGAGGGAATATGAATAAGACTGCAAATTGTGTTTATCTATTTTTCTCCAGAAAAGACAGAAAGAAAAAAAAAAAAAAACAACCTCTCTCCCCCCTTTTTCCTCCCACTCCCCATCAGAACAAGCACCGTGTACCTTCTTCCAGGCCCTAACAGGTTCCTTCTGCTTTTTTCTTTCAGGGGCATTTTTTAGTAGATTACTTAAAAGATGCAAGTGAAGCGAGCGACCAGAGGGTGACAACCACAAGTTCATTCCACCAGGTAATTTTGGCGCATTAAAACACACCGAGAGGAAACCAAGTATTGTTTTTTTTCCCTTCTTCTTTTTTCTTCTCCTCCCCTGCAAAAATAACACTATTCCCTCCTCATGACCCTGTGTTTGAATTGGGAGAAACAAAGGAGCAGGCATTTTGTATATTTAGAAATGGGACTATAAACCGCCCTCCTCCTCCTCCTCCTCCTCCTCCTCTTCTTCAACAATAACAGAGGAGAAACACTGCACCAACGTGAAGAAGATCCACGAGGCTTCCATCAGCTCTTTTTATTCTTCTTTTTTTTATTCTGAGGTGGATTGCATGGCTTCGTGCACACACACACACACACACACACAGACACACACACGGAGGAATTAGGGGATTTTTTGATTTTTGATTTTTTTTTTTCCTCATGACAGAAAAGACACCAGGACCAGGACTGATCTCAAAGATCTCCTCTTTAAAATATTATTATTATTTAAAGGACTGTGACGCCGTGAGTGGATTTTTCTTTCCTTCTTCAAACCCCCCCACCCCCACCCCCCCACTCAACAAATAGAGAATAAGACATTTGAAAAAGACTTCAGCTGCACTTATTTGAGAAAAAGAAAAATGTGTTGCCAAGTGTGACTGAGTGGGTGCTGTGGACATTAATGCTGCCATTTCTAAGCAGTGTTCTTTGGTAGGTTTTAATAAACAAAACTCTGTAAAGCCGGCAATATAGATCACTAGATCAGATTCTGATCTGACTTATTTACTTTATATTTTTCATCAGAATGACTTGTTTTAATATTTTATTCGGAATACATATGAATTATTCCAAACGGTAATTTATTTTCCCCCCCAGGAACTTGTGTAAGATGCTTCCCCCTCCCCTTATTTTTTTTTTCTTGTTTTAATTTCATTTGGGTTTTNTGTAGTTTTTTATTTTACAACTGGACTATTTTCTCGTCACGGCTGCAAGAGGCCAAATGTGATTCCAACTTTTCTTGACTCGCCTATTCAGCAGAACTCACAGAACGTGTCCCCGCGCTGCAGGATTTGAATTTCGCGGATGATTTCCCGCACTAGTTGCTTAGCAACTGAATTCAATGATATAGAGAAAGTGGGAATCATTTTTCTTTGTCTCCATTAGTGAAAGTGGCAGCGGGGACGCGCCGTGCAGCAGCAAACTTCAGATCCTGCACGTTGAATGTGAAGATGTTAAAGATAGGAAGCAGTTTTTAAAAAAAAAAAAAGCAGTTCGGTTTATTTGTATTGAATTTAAAATGTTGGGATCTCTGCATCTGCGTTAAATCCACAAACTTCAGATTCCTGCTGCACATTCATTTCCGAACAACTCGAGAAAATGCAACAACAAAAACAGGAAACAGTCAAATTCTGAGGGAATTTAAAATAACACTTCTCTGAATGAAGAAAAACGCTGCAGCTGATTGAACGAGAGGCAGAGTTATAATATTTGTCATCTCACGCGCATTGATTCTGCATTCAACCCAACGACGCGCGCACGTTCACACCGCGCACGCTCCTCGCGTCTTGTGCAGAAATGTCTTAAATCGACGCACAGAATTTTTCTTTCTTTCTTTTAACCGAGGGCGACACAAAAAGCAGAGTTTCAAATCTCATAATGGGTTTTGATCCGCCTATTCTCCTGCAGCTTTGCCTTTTTCCATGGCTCTTCAGAAACCATGTTGGCAGCAGCGTGCATGTGTGTGTGTGTGTGTGTGTGTGTGTGTGTGTGTGTGTGTGTGTGTGTGCACTGGTACGTTCAGGGCCTGTAGGAGATCTGCAGCTCTCCTTCCATATTGATTGAGGACGTCAGCGGCTCATTAAAGCAACTCGTTGTCTCTGAGGCCTTTAAACGCAGCACTGAGGACTGAGCTGCTATAAAAGTTTTAACGTCTTAATAATTATTAATGTGTCACCAGGAGCTTTTCACTCGGTCGCACACTTCACCTGCAACCACGGGGAACTACAGGGAACTCAAGAACATCACGTGTGTGTTTGATTTTTAAAATAGATTCACAGAGTTCACACTCAACTTTAATGTTTCTTTCTATAAAACTGTTTTACAGCTGTAAACACGCGAATTCATTATATTTATTATCTGTGTAGACGCTTGGATTTTATTCTAAAGTGTAATGGACTCATTTTATATAGTTCTCACTGTGTGTGTGTGGTGTGTGTGTGTGTGTGTGTGTGTTGTGTGTGTGTGTGTGTGTTTGCTCCACGTGTCGGGCGCATGAATATGGATCATCCTGTGCATGTTCTCCGCAGGGATCCTTCCCCTGGTTCCACGTCCACGCGGATTTATCTGCTGCAGAAAAAGACATGAACAAATATATCCCCCTGTGTGAAACGGTAATTTATTTTCCCCCCCAGGAACTTGTGTAAGATGCTTCCCCCTCCCCTTATTTTTTTTTTCTTGTTTTAATTTCATTTGGGTTTTTTTTTTCTTATATATATATAAATATATTTTTTTGTTGTTGCCCTTATTTGTTTAATTTTGTATTCTCGTTTCTAAAGGAGCACAAATCATCCTGAGCTGACATTGACCGTTGTTAGGTAATAAGGGTATATTTTGATGTGATCATTTGATTGTAATTTAATTTCAGTAGTGGTTCCGTACGAGCTGATTGAGACACAATAAATTTGTTAGAATGAAATGCAGTCATCTTGTGTTTTGAAATTTATATTTCTATCGGTTTTTGTTGGGCTGGTTTTTTTTATTTATAATCTGTTATTTTCCTCTTTGTGCTGTTTTAAAGCTGCGAGTTTATAAAAATGTCCCCTTTAGACAAATATAAAGCAAAGCAAATGGTCTTTAACGAAAAATAAAAGTGATTCTATTTATTTATCCAACCAAACAGCGTTTAAACAAGTATGAATGCAGAATTTACGGGTTTTCATGAGACAAGTGTCTCCACCAGGACAGACGAGTGTAAATGTCACGCACCGGCGCAGTGCACGTCTCCTCTGGTTGTTTACATCTGCAGCCTCCTCAGGCCTGCTGGGTAAAAACCCGGATCCTCTGCCCTCACCTGCAGCCTGGACACGTGCACGGGCTGGATTATAACCTGAGTGTGTGCGTGAAGGAGGGTTCATTCAAATTGCACGAGGGAAAGAGACGATGGGACGCGTGCGTGTTGTTTGGGGGTGAAGGTACAGAGCGTCCTCGCGTCCTGGCTGCGCGTTATGTAATTTAGCTCCTGGTCCAGATTCTGCATCACACACACACACACACACACACATACATGCGTGATGGTTATGGACCTGATTCACGCGCGACACGCAAAGATCTGAATCTGCTGCAAGAGATGAAGGTGTTGAATGTGCGTGTGACACTCAGGTGCGCGCAGGTCTATAACTCTGATGTTGTTTCAGTATCCGGGGCACTGGGTCAGTGTGTGTGTGTGTGTGTGTGTGTGTGTGTGTGTGTGTGTGTGTGTGTGTGTG